TCCCTCTCTCTGGGCATCGCCACACCACTGAACTTCTCTCTAGAACATGGCCAGATGCACCCGTCACATTCTTGTCTTTTTCACATGCAGGGAGTGGTGTGGCGAGGCCCTCTCTCTCTCGCTCTCTCCCCCTGGTGCATTGTCAAGGACTTCGGCTTGCTTTTTTTTTTTTTTTTTCATTTCTCGCTTTTTCCTTTTTCTCTTTCTTTGATTTCTTTTTTCTCCATTTTTCTGCTTTCGTAACTGCAGAAGAAAGGAACCTCCTCGGGCTACCGGTAGCTCTAGGCTCGCCAAGGCTCGGCTTACCGGCTTACCGGCAGCTCAAGTGTCGGACTCGATAGCTAAGCGTCTAATCCCACAGTACTTACGGTTAGTAAAAAGCTGTGCTTTGGCGGATCCCACAGTATTTCGATTTCGTAGGAGGTCCCAGTAGCTTCAGAGGCGAGTGGAAACATTTGTAGTCGTGGCGGCCAGGGAATGAACGGCGCCGAAAAAGCTGAAGGGAAAATGCAAGAGAGCTCGCCCCGTACCCTGCTGCAAAAAAGAAGGGCCACTTTTCTATTTTTTTTCGCGAAAATTGTATGTATCTGTTTCGGTGGGCTGGTTTGTCCGTGGTTCGGTCTGTGCTGTGTGGCACGATGTGGGAAGTCCCGGTAGTGTCCGTGCAAGTGGACCATTTTCCAACCCCAAAATCAACCCACCCATCGAAAACCGCCGAAACCGGCGTGAAAGCTGCAAACGAAACGGGCCAGTGGGGTCCCCATTTTCTTTTACGGCCCGACTGGAGCGGCCCCATCTTTTTCGTTACTTTTACGGATTCGTCTTCCGTCAGTAGAGTGGGATCAGACGCTAAGAGTTGGACCCCACTGGGCGGCGGGTGGAAAAGCAGACCGGCCACAAAAAAAAGGGGCAAAGGCGTTTGGAGAGAAATTGGCAGATTTCAATCGTACCCCACCGCCACCGCGAAAACGGGAACTGGAAACGGTGCCACTTCTCGAAATGGAAAATCCGAAGGGGTTGTCCAGGACCTCTGCACCGTCGATTGGGCCACACGCTCCAGCGATTGGACTACACCCACCTGGCCTCCGATGCCATCGGAGGACATGGCGCCCCCCCTACTCCGCTGGACGTACTGTTTGGAAAACCTCTGGAAAGACTTCGGGGTGAATTTCCCAACCGCCCACCGTGTAGAAACGCCCCGTCAACGTTTTGGCAACCTCCTTCCATACACGGTGGGGTCTGAAATTCCGTTCCGGAAGGACTTTCCATACCGGTTTTCCACACCGGTGGGGTCTGGAAAACAGTGTGGCGCCCAAAGTTTTCCAGGCTGGGCAGTGGGGTCCACCTCTAAGGGGTGGACCCCACTGCTCGGCGGCCTGGAAACAAAATTCCAGGCCGGTGTTTTTCGGACTCCACTCACCTGGAAACCTGCATGGAAACCCACACTGGAAAGGTTTTTCAAACCCCATCGACCATGGAAAGATGTAGCGGGAAAGGTGTCAGAAGCGTTTCTACATGGTTAGCGGCCTGGAAACCGACAACGTCATTCTTCCACGACCTTTCCAGGAAGGCCTGCCAACCGACTAGTGGGGGGGGGGCATGTTCTCCCTCGGAAAGAAGGGGCCAAGTGGGTGTGGTCCAGCTGATGTCACGGCGGACCATTTTATGGCCGCCAAGCGCCCGCGGAAGCGCACTGTCCTGTCGCACGGTTCGGGTGTGGGCCCTTGTGTGGCTGGTAGTCGCCACCTATGGTAACCTCCGACACGTACTTGAGGGATGTCCCGATTTCTGGTAGTCCCTGTCTCAGGTCCCGAGGGTGGAAGGGGACAAGCTCCGATGAGGCCCACCACAGAATTTGTTTTTTTATTTTTAATTCGAGTTCAAATACCAGAAGTCCCAACGGGCCGTTTTCGACGCCCGGGGGGCAGGTGAACGAACTTCCTCGTCACCTATTCTACGCCACACATCCCACACTGCCACGCACAGCCGCACGTGGACATGTCCTGGTCCAACGACAGAGGAAGGCCATGCGCCACAACCCCATCCCAACTTTCCTTTTCGGGCGTGAACCCTCCGACTTTTCCTTTTCGGGTATGTTTTGCTGTTTCCAGTGCCTAGGAAAGACTTTGGCGGTGGGGTCCCACGGAAACCTGCCAAAGTCTTTCCAAACTCGTTCCGCTGTTTTTTATGGCCAACCACTTTTTCCAGCCGCCGAGCAGTGGGGTGCACCCCTAAGAAAGGTACGGGTGGTTTAAATCACACACCTAGGATGAGCTGGCTGCCCAACGCTGCAAAAAAACGACCGTGCAAGCCTAGGATGAGCTGGCCGCCCAATGCTGCAAAAAAACAATGCCACACCCTTGGTCAGCTGATTATGTTGCAAGATCTTCGCGCCAATAAATATACACCACTTGCATTTTTTTTTTTTTTGGCTTTCAGGTTACTTGTGAACATCTGCAAAACGGCTCTCTAGAGATTGATTGTGGCGAAGAGCGGAAATTGACATGAAATCGAGGCTCTCAACACTGTCTCACACCTAACAAATTATTTTTGAAATAACAGCGGACTCAGCATGTTTTGAAACCCTGAAGGCAAAAAAAACTCGCGCCGGCAAAGACCCCCACGCAGCACTAATAATATTTTTGAAATAACGGCGGGCTCGGCATGTTTTGAAACCGTAAAGGCGAAGAAAACTCGTGCCGGCAAAGACCCCCACGCGGCGACTCGGAATGAGCAATTTCGGTCCAAAAGTTTCTGTTGGGCCTTCCTTCTTTTTTTTTTTGTTTTTTTTTGGTTTCCCCCTCTGGCACCACAGCCGACCTCTGTAAATAAGACACCAGGTCTGACAGCACGACCGTCGGTACTTCCATTGCCTTTTCGAACTCGGCGCGGGTTTCTTCGCCTCAGATGCATGTTTTTTTGCCCATTCGATACTCGAAGGTGACATGAACGTACTTACCTCAATATTTTCTCAGTGACTTGCGACTGTCTTATTGTGCCAATCTGCCAATGTGTTTCTTTATCTCGTCGGGGATTTTTGCATGGGCAGGGTACTGGCGGTTTAAAAAAGTTAAACCCCCCACCAGTACATTCAAGGCAAAATTCACCAGCCTCTACCTGCCCTGCACACTGGGCAAAGCCAAAGTGTCGTGTTTTTGTTTGTTTTTTTTTTTTTTTTTTTTTTTTTTTTTTTTTTTTTTTTTTTTTTTTTTGCCGTCTTGGCTGACGCCACAAGCCATTTTCGTTCGGTCGTCCTGAGCCCCCAGAGTTTCCGAGTGACTCGATCCTCATTCTCAAGTTGGCTGGGGCCATGTACTGATGTGTCTTAACAAATTAAGATCCAATGATGTCATTATCATTTCCCGATTGCCCGATAATTCTGAGTTCCAACGATGTCATTAACACTCTTTTATCTTTTCCCGGTTGTCGGATACTTCTTTCCTTCCTACACTGCCAAACTTGCCTGTATCCACCTTGAATTAGGTCCACACCCGGTTCCACGAAGCAGAGGCCAAGGAAGGAGGCTGCCATCTCACATGCTACGCACGACCCCACAAGCACATGTTAATATCCTTCATGTTTGCCCCCTTTTTTTTTGTGTGTTTGTTTGGGGGACTAGTTATAGTCTTCACTCATATACCTCTTGCGCTATGCACCCTCTTTATCTAAGTCCACTTCTAAATTCTTGATCGCTGCAACGTATCTACGCACACTAGCTGGCGTGCCGTAAGAGTTATGGGTTGGCAACTTGGCACTGACCTCCTCCCGCGTTGAAGCACGGCGGCTTCTTTTTTGAAGTTTTTTTCCTAACCCAGGGCTACGGATGGGAGGGGGGAAAGAAACCCTACCCAGCCCTACCAGGGGGGGGAAGCCAACTAACTCAGCTGGCCAACCTGTAGCGAGCCGAAGGAGGCAGGGGGAAGGGGCGGGGGTGGGGGGGGGGCGGGGGGCAGCTTGAATGAAGTCCGTGGGGAAATGAACCCCCTACCTCCTGAATGCCACTTTCGTGCTCTACCAACCGAGCTGGGTCAGTAGTGGCCCTCCCTGTTTTTATTTTTCTGTTTTCTGGGACCATAACTCGACGTATGCATGCCATCCTTGCGCAGGGGCCATGCTAATCAATCTTCACTATATCTTTCCGTTCCAATTTTAAGCCGCCAGTACACGGCCCCAGCCTTGCTGAAAATGCTGGCACGTTTCAGTCCGTGCTATCGGTAGGTCAGCCGCCCATTCCAAAAACCGCCCTACCGATCCCCCATAGTTTAGGCTGGCAGCGGTAGCGGTGGTTCAATAACCCTCACCCTTTTCTTGGTGTCCACATCAGTCATATCACCAAAACACTATCCCAAAAAAGCAAACCAGTTCTTTTTTTCCTCTTCTTTCAGAGGGGGGGGGGAAGGGGTAGGGGGGGGGGAGGGGGAGGGGGAGGGGTATAGAGTGGGGGCGGATCCAGACAGATCCAGCTCTCTGCTGAGACCTCAGCTGCTGGCCATTGTCGACGATCGGATGACTATGATCTCGGTCGACGGACATGCACACTTCCGCAAAACCAAGACTGCACCTACGATCTCGCCAAACGGTCGTGCACACTTCTGTAAGCCGAGAACACAACTACAATCCCACACCACTGACATTCACACGTCCATAAACCAAGAGAACGACGACTATCTCACCCGACGAACACACGCACTCACACAATGGAAATGCACACTTGTGTAAGCCGAGAGAACGACCATGATTGCACCCAACGAACAAACACACTTCTTTAAATTCCACCACCCTTTCCAGTACACCACATGCTGCGACATCGCAGCAAACAAGCACTGCGGCTGGTTTCTCTACATTTGGCATGGAAGCCAAACCAAAAAAAAAAACAAAAAACGAAGATTTGTGATCATTTATCATGGAAGGGTCAAACAGACTAGGCACAGTGTACAAAGCATCCACCAATCAAATGCATGCTCCTCCCCCCCCCCGCCCAAATCAATGTCACTCACACTTCTGGCTTGGCCTATCAAATTTTCACTTTCACAAATTTCAATTTGTCGACGTGAAAACAAAAAAGCCTATATTATATTCACACATTCTAGGCAAAGTAGAACTGCACCAAACGTCTCCTAACAGAAAGGAAGAAAGAAGAGGAAAAACAGACCCCCCCCCTCCAAACTACGACCCGGCTACACAAAGCCCCTTCACCCCGCCATCGTGGTCGCACCCTGATGTCTCTACCTGCCCTTAACATCGATTCTATGCTACTCTAACCCCCTTAACTGTGCCCTCCCCCCCCTCAAAAAAAAAATGTCACCAACTCTCTACCTGCCTGTACTGCCCCAAATGCCTCCAAAGAGAAAAGAACAACAAAAAAGGGGAAATTTTCGAAATGCCCCTCTGACTGCCGACTTACCCTGTCCTGCCCCTTGACAAAGATTGAAGTTTGCGAAAAAAACCCTCGCGCCGTCTCGGGCCTGAAATAGGTTCAATATGCCCCTACCGGTACCGGTTCCAAATTTCCAGTATCCCCCGGAAGCTCCCCTCCCAGGGCCAGGGGAACGGCCGCCAGTGCCACCAACAGCCACAGGGGCATGCTGGAAAGTTAAACCCCTCACTGACAGGGGCCTGCAGGAAACTTCGGCGGACCCAGCAGCACGACAGGGTAAGTCGGCCATAGGAGGGGCATACCGCAAAATAACAAATGGCAGTCGGAGGGGCATTTCGATAATTCCCCCCCCAAAAAAAAGACTGGAGGAAGAAGAAGAAAAACCCTTCAGACCCGTACAAGGCTACAAGCCCCATATATCCCCTCTTTTTCTCAATCCCTTCTGTTGCCACACCAGAGTGTGCATCCATGTGTATCATGCCATCTACGGAACTCTGCCTACCTGCCTACACACCTCTTTGCTTCTCTCCCTCTCTCCCTCTCCCTCCCTCCCTCCCTCCTTCCCTCTCTACCTCCCTCTCGACCTCAAACCCTTGCAAAAGGCTACTGATTGCAAAAGGCTGCCAATCGGCAGAAAGCATGAACCTGGCTGTAATAGCGGCCAGGTTCGTGCTTGCCAAGTCCAAATGCTTGCAAAAGGACACCACTTGAGAAAGGCTGTGAATTCCGAAAGGCGTTCGCGATTCTCGTTGGTTATAGCATCAAGCAGGTGTCGAAGGAAGAGGGACAAGCAAACTATGATTGGCGCACGCGGAAAGCGAGATGGAAACCATGATTGGTGCATCAAGCAGGTGTGCAAGGAAGGGGCCAACTCTGGTTTGGTATCAAAGGCAAAAGGCAAAAGCTCTGATGTGTGAACGGGGAAAGCAAGATGGAAAAACTGTGCCTGTTGTGTTTGTCGGGGTGGGGGGTGGGGAGGTGGGGGGGGGGGGGGGGGGGGGGGGGGGGGGCACGGCGGCGAAAGAAAACTGTGCCTGTTGATGGCCTCTGTTGTGAAGAAACAGAAGAGAGAGGACAAACTCTGATCGGTGGAAAACAGAAATGGACATAAACAAATTTTTGGTGTGAAGGGGAAAGGGAGAAACTATGGGCCTCGCCCCTCTACTCAACATTCTACATGTATTTGGACTGCGCATTGCACCAAATACATTTGAACTGAGCCAACATTTAGAACGAATAGGGACAACCACGAGGTCCAGATACGTTTGAAATGCTGTGCAGTGGAGTGAGGCTGTACGACTACAGTGAAAGGGAAACGGAAACGGAGAGACTCTGATTGGTCTGAAACAGAAAAGGCATCGAGACTATGCTTGGGGGTGGAAGAGCGGTCAGGGACGACTACGATTTGACTGCAATGAGAGTCGCAGCAACGTCACTGAATCTGGTCATGGACGGGTTCTGGTTCTTTTTTATTTTCTGTTTCTTTTTCTTTTTTTATTTTTATATCCACAGTATGCAATATGGTACAGGAGCGCAAAAACGACGAGAAAGTTCCGGCGCAGAATTCACATTTTAATTTTTAATACGATTTATTATTATTTATTATTATTACACTACACTAATCTGTACTGCGAGTCGACGTAGCCCTCCACGTCCCACAGAATGCTTCCGAATGCCACCGCCTCGAACACCAGACGCCGTAAGCCAGCAACGTTCATTCGGACGTTGTCGTCTTTGACGACGACGAACGAGCCATCATCGACGACAGAAATGTCCGGCCGGCCAAAGAGAGCCTCTGTGTGCTTCTCTATGACACTAACTGCTTCACGGGACTTCATTGTCGCGTTGCGCTGCAGAGTCTCCACGTCGAACGACATGACGTACGCCCGCAGAGCGTTTGGCTTCCCGCCGCTTGCCCCCTCCCCACTGCCACCCTTCGGCGCGCCGAATCTATAGCCCATAGACATGTTCGCGGCAGCTGCTGACGCCTCGGCGGCAAGCGACTGACCCAACTTGCTGACCGAAACATCCTCCGGCTTGCTCGACGTCTCCTCGGCATCAACACTGCTGCTGCTGCTGCTGCTGCCGTCGCCTGCATTTCCCCCCTCATTTTGGGCTGAACTTGACGAGTCGACCACCTCACCTCCCGATGTTGCACCCGCAGCAGACGGAAACGGCGACGATAACAACGCCCGCATGTTCTTCTCCAGCTGGAACCTCTGATCGACCCTTTTCAGGAAGTACCCGTACATAATCGAGGCCGCATACACTTGACCTACTCTCAACTTACTGATCTGGACGATCGTGTTCGGGTCGAGAATCTGGGGAGCGGAACGGGCGCCGAGAACCATACCCACATGCTCTCGTACCATTTCCAGAGCCTCCGACGAGTGTATGCTCTCAAGGAGCGTCTCCTTCTTCGGACTGAGATCTACCGCGCTACTCATGGTGGCCGCCACCATCCCTTGCACAGGCAGACCCATCAAACCGGCCGCCTCCTCCGCGCTCACGTCCTTCCCGCCTAGCCTAATCTTGACGACCGGCAACTCGGGAAGCAGTTCCACGCCAGATTCAATGAACTTCTGGACAATCGAACAATAGATAACCTCCTCGATCGCCGTCTTCCTTTCTGTCTCCTTGAGGTCTGCAATCCGCCTGCCAAACCCAGAAGAAAAGACATAACCCAAACTGTCAGATGATGTAGCCAAAAACGTTTTAAGAAAGGCAGCTGACAAGTCACACAAAAAAAAACACACAAAAGGACAAAAAGGCAGCTGATATGTCCAATCATGCACACCAGCCTCGGAAAATCTCTCTCTCTCTCTCTCTCTCTCTCTCTCTCTCTCTCTCTCTCTCTCTCTCTCTCTCTCTCTCTCTCGATACTAGATAGGCGAGACAGTAAAAAATGCAAGGTAGGCCACGTTCGTGTGGTTCAGGAACCATTCATATGTAGTACGTAGGTGTACTATGTCCTCACAGGCGTAGGTGTACTCTGAACACGTGGGCATAGAGACATACTTCTTTTTTTTTTCTTCTGTGCTGGTCCTGCAGGACAAAACTAGGCTGCTGAGTTTCTGGGCATACATAGGTGTACTATGTACACAGAGGGAATAAGTGTACAATGCTACTGAGTTTCAGAACAGTGTATGTACACACACAGGCGTAGTTGTACTATGTACACAGAGGAATAGGTGTACTATGTACACAGAGGCATAGGTGTACTATGTACACAGAGGAATAGGTGTGGCATAGGTGTACTATGTACACAGAGGAATAGGTGTGGCATAGGTGTACTATGTACACAGAGGCAGAGGTGTACTATGTACACAGAGGCAGAGGTGTACTATGTACACAGAGGCAGAGGTACACAGAGGCAGAGGTGTACTATGTACACACAGGAATAGGTGTGGCATAGGTGTACTATGTACAGCACAGAGGAATAGGTGTACTATGTACACAGAGGAATAGGTGTACTATGTAGACAGACATACATTTTCCGCCGTGGAAAAAAACTGTGCTGCTGAGTTTCAGAACATACATAGGTATACTATGTAGTACATACACAGAGGCATGGATTAAGTATGCACACGTAGGCATAGACATAGACATGCTTTTTCTCTGCTGGACAAAACTATGCTGCTGAGTTTGGGAACATATATAGGTGTACTATGTACACAAAGGCATTGATATAGGCATAGACATAGTAGACAAAGAGATAGAGACACACATCCAATAAATATTAGATAAGCATAGATGCAGGTATAAGAGGAGCATTTTTTTGCCCATGTTTCTCAAAACACGGATTTTTCTGCTAAACTGCTAATTTTTGTAACGGAAAAAGATCGTGTTCGGTTTCAGAACACAAATAGATTGAAAAAAAAAAAAAAAAAAAGAACTCAAATAGATGTACACAGAGACATAGACATAGACATAGACAGAGACATAGACATAGACATAGACAGACATAGATGTCGATGTTGGGACTCTCTCGCCACACCGACATAGTATCCAATGTCGCTGAACGCGATTGCCGCTCTGCACCCAGCAGCCTATCGTACTCGGTCTAGACTAGCCCACCCACACTCTGTAACACAATGGGAATTCGAACAGAGGACCAATGTACGTCACGACATCGCCAAAGAGGACTGCCAGCATACACCAGGTGAGTGCCTCTTCTCTCCTCGTCACCCGCCGACTCCCCACAGCATGTGCCTCCCCTTCCTGAAGACCACCATCGCCCACACCAGCATGGGCCCCAGCAGCCCGGCTATGGCCGCCGTGCGCCCTGCTGCCACTGCAGCACCCCTCTCTCCGCCTTTTTTTTTTTTAAGGAAAAAAAAGGGGGCTCAAACTAATCCGCTCTGGACTACAAGCTTTTTTTTTGTTTGAAGAAAAAAAAAAACGGCAATGGCCTTTGGATATCATCATTGAACCGACCTGCCCCAGGCAATTCAGAACGAGTTTTTATTCTTTCCACCTGATAGGATCTGCGTATGAATTTGAGTCTGTATTTTGCAAACAGTCCAGGGGTGTACCAACTGAGCTCGGCCCGCTCTGCACACTACCAAGCTTTTTTCTTTCATATGCCAACGGAGAGATTGAAGAAGCGACCATAGGCGCCGC